CCCCAAAACCCCAAAACCCCAAAACCCCAATTCCATCATTAAATATTGAAAAAGTGGGTAAATTAGTTTAAAATCCCTCATTTTTAGTCCAAATCTCTCTTAAAATAACCTAAACTTCGCTATTTCCTCACTCTACTTGCTTCTAATTATTAAACATTTTGCTCATTTAAAGGACTATTCAAATGAAAACCAACTCAAAGACAGCAATAATGAGTCAAGAAAGAGAAAGCGCTCCATCTGAGAGCAATGAGGAGTACGATAAGCACATCAAGCCTGCAGGGGGTACAGATTTTCAGCAGATGCCAGATAATCTGTCTGAACAACCAAGTGATGATCTATCTGCTCAACAGCCTCACATGACCAAATCTGAAATCGACTCGATGATGGACAGTCAAACACTAACAAAGAAGGAAAGGCTAGAGATGGCCACTGAAAACACTGGTATGATTATCTGAACAGAAGATGACTACAATGAAGTTGGCGCAAACTATGTTCCCAGAAACATGGAGGAATCTCTTAGATACATCTTCAACAGAATGTCCAGGTCCGTTGATAAGGACCTTGATCAAATAAAGATCGGCCAACCAGCAGTCCATAAAGTCCTATACTGTAAGAGATTAGTACAGCAATTGAAGAACAAAACCATTCAGAAACTTTTCTTATGAAATGATGGCTTGACTTACCTAAGCATGTGGTTAGAGAAATCTGTCGATGGGTGATACCCATGCGATGAAGTTCTCGGAACAATTCTCGACATCTGTGAGTTCCTTCCAGTCGGTTCAGAGCACCTGCATGGGACTAAAATAGGAAAACAGGTGAAGAAACTTGAAAAAGAAGCTCTGTCCGAGAAGATCAGGTCGAAAGCATCCGAGGTGCTCCACAAATGGTACAGAGTTGTCTTCGAACTCAACACTGGATATGATGAATCTGGGCTATATGAAAGACAATATAGGGAATACAGGAAGAAAAGACTTGTAGAATCTGGGTTTATGAAGGGAGATAATGAGGAAGATGAAGACGAGCTTGAGGAAGTACCTGGACCTGGAGGGGAAGGAGAAAAATCAGAGAAAACACAGAAAAAGGAACTACAATATGACCAAAATGGAGTCGCCTGTGATAGAGCTTATGTTCCTAAGAAGCCTTCATTTGATTTTACATACAGACCAGTTGCAGAAATGGAGATTCCTTACAGAGCACCTCAGGATGATAGAGGGTTGAAAAATGAGATAACGAGGAGTATCCATTTGATGCACAAGGCTGCTGCCAAAGCAGGAAGGAGATTTAAAGAACTTCATAAGTAAGTTTACTGTTTAATTCAATTAAATTTCAATTTTATTATATTTTGTAGGGGTTTTGGGGTTTTGGGGTTTTGGGGTTTTGGGG